ACCTTGCAACAAGAACTGAAGCTGTCCACCTTCATTTCTTTAGGGGATTTATTTGATAAGGTCAATAGAAACATCAAACCAAAAATGGTCTTGTTTTTAGTATTTTACCTTGTTTTAAATTGCACCTTGATTTTATTGTTTTATAACATTACTTTTATTTTATATAATAAGCCGCGGTGTTCAAAGCGTGTGAAAAAAGTAGCGGTTTATAGTCCGGAAATTAAGGTATTTACATTATCCACAAATCCACCCTTGTAAAAATCTTTAAATATAGACCTTCTTTCAGTAGTTTTAAAATCCATGGCAACATATATTAAATCTACCCACACAGATCAAAGAAAGATGCTGATTTAAAAAAAATTATGTTTAGTTGCAGAAACATTGTTTTTATGTCTTCAAATACTTATTCTTTCTGACTTATCACTGATCTGCAGTCAACTGTTCGTAATGGCCCAGATCTTTTGAAGTTGGGCCAAAATGTTTCCTAAAAGGAGCATCTGGTACCTGGTAGTATCTGAAATAAAATAAAAAATATATATATTAAAAAAAGCAAAACAACATCTGCACTGTGAAGTCGGGCGGAGCAGGTGTATCTTTGGAAACACGGCTTTAAGTAAAACTTGAGAGATCGACATGAGAAAGCGTTGCAACTACGACTAAAATCCGAGCAGACGGACCAACAAGTTCAACAGGATGTAAACAACAGGAAATGATGGGACAGAAGGGTGAAAATCAAAGCAGACGTAGCAGGAAGTTTCAGACCACAATTAGTGAACTGATCAAAGTTGAGTCGCTGTCCACTGAAATAGCTCCAACGTCCATGTTTTATAAATGGACAGCCTTAAAAAGACTCTGGGGTGGCTGAAACGACAAACTGTGCATAAAGCAAGGAGTCAGACATAAAAAGAGCCATTTGTCAGCTTTAGATCACAGGTAAAAGGGGCTCTTACATCACAACATGAAAGCTGCTGTCAGACAGACGTGACAGCACCGTGGAGAGACATAAAATGTTACAAAAGATGGGTTTGATTTGAATGTGAATTACAACAACTTGATCCAGCTGCTGCAGCCCGTGCACCTAAAAGCCTATGGCTGGATAATTTCAATTGTTTTTTCCTTTTTTATTATTTCAGACAGAGACAAAGAACGTCAAGATCATGGTTACTGACTTTGATGTTCCGCTGACGTCATTTTAAAACAATACCTAAGGTTATATGGCAGCGTCCATGCCGTTTCCTCTCGCCTCACGCCGATTTCCTCCCTGTGAAATCATCCTGTCATCATAATTTGATCCTTCCTCTTCCTGTTCAGAAGTTTCCACTGAAGTTCTGAGTGGCTCTTTCACCTGCTGCAGTAACAAAATATTTTTTTTATACCTTTGCTTTTCAAAAATGCCTCGATATTCAGAACATTTGCTCCATTCCAGTGAGCCGATCCAAAGAAATACAAGAACTATGGAAGTTCTGCTCTGCAGCTCCTGCACCCACAGTCAGACGTTAATCAGCTACACCTGTGGATCAGCGACTTGATGAGCATGAGGAGCATAAAAGGAGTCAGAAGACATTCAGCCAGCACTGGAGCATTACCTGCCAACGTCTTGTTCTAGCCTTTTACTCGTGTTTAAAACTTAACATTTATTATTTGTATTATTCTCCATGCCTCCATGGAGTTATCCTTAATGTCCTCCTGTTTCCTGAATCTTCCTCTGTGCCTCATCAGTTGTCTCCATGTGTTCCTGCCACTTGTCTAACACCTGCACCTGCGTCACCTGGAACCTTTTGGGTCAACCTTCCTCACGTATCTCGATCAATAACATGATCACCCTTGACTACAAGAACACTAACCACCTCTCTGCTCCTCAGGGTTCCAGTCCGCTCCCCGGCTTATTGTACCATTTCTCACTTTGTAAATAAACACTGCAAATTCATCCTGAGTCTTGGTCTCTGATCTCATTGGTCCTTACATCTGGGTACAGCCACAATTGTCACAAGAACAGTCCCCATTGATTACAGAGAAGAGGCTATTTCATACTCAGTGTTTGTCAGACTTGAAAAGATCAAAAATGATTCTTGGACATTATTTAAGGCCTCATCCACAGTACACCAGATCATTTAAAAAACTACGTTTCTGTTGTGTTTGTACTAGGGGTTGAGTAGACTAGTCGACCAGTCGATTCTAGGACATCTCGCAAGGTTTTTTAATTTCACGTCGACTAGTTGTAGGCAGTGACTGTGTCATGTGATCAGCGCCAGGCCGCTGGCTACAAAACGGATTCTTCCAAGCAGATGGAAGGTGAGGAGCAGGCCAAGTCTTGCCAAACCGGTAGAAATTCATCAACAGTGTGGACGTATTTCACTAAAGATGATTCTTCCAGTTTAACCGACCAAAGTGGATTCCACCACCGCACGCCCCGCTGTTGATTTTATTTAATCCACTAAATAAAATCAAAACGGGGGCGCACGTGCACGGTGGTGGATTCTCCACTGACTGTGGTGGATTCCACCACCGTCGATGTGCAGTGCGTGGTGACCAGTGGAGAATCCACCACCGCGCACTGCACACCGGCGGTGGATAGTTTTTATTTTTATTTTATCCACTAAATAAAATAAGAATCAAAACAGGGGCGCACCACCGCCATGATGGTTGATTTTATTTAGTGGATTAAATTAAATTAAAATTACGTGGATTTAAAAAACTTAAATTTGTACGCATCCTTTGTGATTGTCTATTGTTGTCGTTGTTGTCCACTGTTGTCATCACTCTTTGTTATAATTCAGGTCTCTCTTTTAAAGGAGTCCTTGTGGCTCAATGGGACTAACCTGTTTAAATAAAGGTTGAATGAATGAAAATAAAACTAACTTTTGCAGTTTAACAGTTTTGGTTTTCCTGTGACTTATTTGCAGTATGATAAATGGTAAATATACACTCCTATGTTTTGTTGTTCATTTTTATAAATAATAAATTACTTTTTTTATGAATAGCATCTTGAGTTCCTATGGCATCATCAACTAGTCGACATGGACTTGACTTTTATGATCATGTTGAAGTTGACTTTAAAAAATATGTAGTCGTTCAACCTCTAGTTTGTAATGCCTGACAACACACCAGCAGAGCTCCAAAGTTCATGCTCAGAGGTGTTAATGCTCACAGCCAACAGAGGTTTTTGGTGAGCATTTTAAGACCTGTTTAATGTGTGGACTGGAGATATGAAGCTTTCCTTTAACAACGACGGAGCTGCCCGTTTTGTGCATGTCCATTACCACTTTGTGCCTTTGTGTCAAAAACCAACAAAAAAAAATGTATTGGGAGAATGTTAAGCCACGTTAAGAATGTTATTTTCCTGTGTTTGATTGGCCATTCATGTGGGCGTCCTCTCCACCATGTGGTGTGGTTTAGCATTTTTGTTATGTGTGGACGGGGAGATATTTATAAAAGGAAAAAATAAAAAAGAAGTTTCATTTGAAAGACACCTACAGTGGCATAGATACAGTCAAAGTGCTGTGAAATGGAGGGGAGTGTGTCAATTGGGGCCTCTTATAACAAGGGTGTTCAATCGTGGACCTCGAGGGCCACTGTTCTGCATGTTTTAAGGATTTTTTTGCTGCAACACACCTGATTTTAATTGAAGGGTGATTAACAGGCGTCTGCAGAACATAAAGAGGTGATTCAATCATTGAATCAGGTGGGTTGGAGCAGGGAAACAAGTAAAACATGCAGGATAGTGGCCTTCCAGGACCAGGATTGGACTCCCCTGGACATACCGATTAGTAAAAAGTGTGACTGAATAAAACTAGTACTTGTTATCCTTACATGTGAAGTTTACTGAATACTGCAGGTTTTCTGCAACATTTACAATCAAATGAAACTTTTCTGCCTTTCTCATTAAATAAACTCTGTCCAGAGCCACAAAAGTGTTTAAAATAGGACTCAAATGAAGATGAGACAACTGATTGTTGTGTAAACACTACTTGCACGCATTATAAAAGTCATTCTACAACAAATTGTTGATATTATTAGGATTTTTACTAGTTAGGATAAAAGGAAATACCAAATTTGTCATTACACCCCTTTAATATCATGAAAACACTGAGCTTTAGAGGCCTACGTGAGTGTTTTCCACGTTTGGTTAGATGACTAATATAAGTAACTAAAGTATTTGCTGGCATCCTAATAAATTACTATAAAACAGATTGATGGATATTTAATTGTGTTTCGTCTACAGTAAAAATACAAAGATCTCCATTTATTTAAATTTTTATTGTATTTTTTTTTTTATTCAAGATCAGCCTTAAACTTCTAATTCATCTTGTTATCAGAAAAACTTCCCATATCCTGATGCATGCTCAATAATCCAGGTAGAAAAATCTAAAATGTCTAAAATTGAATGTCCAGAGGACCAGATTTAACGTTTTTAGATTTAAATACTTCCCATATTTTTGTAAAATACACTAGTTTGAAGGCTCATAATGTAGAAAAATGGACTTTCTGTTCTTCTGCCTCAAATGTTTTCAAATTATTCACTTTATGCTGGATTTGAAAAAAATAAAATAGAGAAGAGCAGGAAGTTAAAATGAAGTGGCTGGCAAACCAAAAATACAAACTGATGAAATTGTACATAATTAGAATCATCTGACAGGAAAGTTTTACTCACACACTGCTAAAACCTGGACAGGAAAACAGCTAAAGGAAGCTGATGTTACTGTATCATAAATTACGTTGTTGTATTATAAAACAAAGTGTAAGCTAAAAATCTTGACGTTTGTAACAACTCGAGGTGAAAACTGAAGAAATGTTTTATTTTATTTTATTAATTATACACAAGGGCACTGCATAAACTGTTAACATCCCTCCGCTCTGATGAACTGCATCAGTTCTATCATCTGCTCAGGCATGGATCGCAGGAATCGTAACGTCAAGCCCACCGCTGGGTCCTAATCTGCTTCACCACACTGGGTGACACGTTTGAGATATTTCTGAACATTTGGAGCGGCGCTAGCAAGCTAATGAGCGAGCAGCTGATGAGCCAGTGTTGTTAAGAGGAATTGAGAACGGATTAGAGTGTTAGGGATGAGCGGATACATACTGTAGGGCACGCATTCGTACTGGACTTCCAAGTATTTGTAGGTTCCGGGGCAGGGATCTGGAAACACGTCGGGTCCGGCCACAACAGCGCACTGAGTCCTGTTGTTACACCTGAGAAACAGAGATGGGTTTGGTTAAATAAATGACAAGTGCAACATTCTACAGCAAACAGCGCACAATGTGAAGATATCTAAGATGGCGTTAATGAAGATAGAAACATTTGTTTATTGAGCAAAGATCATGATGACTACAAACCTTTGGAGCAAAGGCATCTTCCTTTAAGTGTAATCAAATCAAAGCAGAATTTTTGTATTTGGACACATTTTTCCACTTTTTTTATACATTCTGACTACTGCGATTTATACACTGAAGCAACTTATTTATTTTTTTTCCCCATATTTATCAACCAATTTTTGGCTGAGATATGACCGTTTTCATTCATTCTGACATTGAAAATAGTGAACACTACCATTTTCAGCTGCTAGATGGCACTCGAGTAGTATGGCATGCCATTGTGTCATGTAATAGGTAAATGTGGCTATTATTGACACAACCGGCTTGCTATAAAAAGCCACCTTCATCCAGCTTCGGGATAATGCCTGGAGCAACCATCAAATCATCTTCATTTCGCCGTGTCGCCCCGGCAAAATGCAGCTAATGTGACCACTGAAGTGCATTTATTAAGTAAAAGTTCAACTGAGACACACTGCTATAAAGTCGAGCTAACAAATAGTTGTTTTTAGGTGCTCATCTTGTTAAATTTCGAAGAAAAGCACAGTTAAGGAAAAGTTAAACTGAGACACACCTTTACTATAATTTCGAGCAAACAAATAATCGTTTTAAGTGTTACTCTTGTTAAATTCATGTAAAAGTCCTCCTGTGCACGCTCCGGTCTCTGCCATTTGGCAACAAATCGATTTTTGGAACAACACCCACCCACATTTCCGGGTTGTCAGCAGTGACGCGTAACAAACGCAACGCGTCAGCGGTGACACATAATTGAGGCGACTTATATGACGAAGCAACGTATTTCTGTTTTTTCCACTTTATTAGACATATTTGGACTGACACAACTTATAGGGCAGTTCAATGTGTACGGCGGAAAATACGGTATTTGCTTTGGGCAGAAGGTCTAACTATATTTTATTACATCTGTATCCAAGAAGGGACAGCATATCGTAGTTTTTGTTTAAAAGTGGATCTCACTGGGTTGCATCTGTTGGTACCAAATTACTAACGACATTGGCGAGGGAGATTCGGAAATGTTTTAAAACGA